TAACTGTTTTCAATTTTCATACTATTTATAATACTCAATATTTTTCTTTAAAACCAATTTAATAAATATCGAAAGTTTCTGATATGCGTCTCAATTAAAGACTATCTATGTGTTCTGGAAAACGTTTTTATTTAGTCAAACAGTAAGCAAATATTTTTTAAATGAACATATTAAAAATAGAACAACAAATTAAGTTCATTAGTGTTCATTTTAAATATATGTTTTAGCTCTTTTTTTTACCAAGAAGCTTAAAAAAGATGATGAAACATATATTTAAAATGGAAACTAATGAACTTACCTTTTTGTTCTATTTTTAATATGTTGATTTAAATAATATTCATTTGGTGTTCGAGTTGATTAAGATAACTTCGACAGTCTTATTTGTGAAAGTTATAAGTTTATCTGACGGTCTGACTTTGATACAATAAATATATATTTAACTTATTGAATTTTGTTTTGTTCAAGATACAACGAGCCTTTGAATTAGTTGCATCATTACATGGTAAAATAAATCATATTTTAGCAAAATTAACAACTAATTCAATTAATGAACAAGAAGCTGTTCAACAAATAACTCTTGAAAATAAAAATATGGAGAATTCGTTGGCAAAAATTTTGATTGATTCAGCAACAACAATCCCACAACAAACAACATCATCCCTAGACTCTTTATAAGAATTTTCCATTTTCTTTTGTACATATTAGTTTTTTGATGCATTTCATGAGTAAAATATATCTTCGAAGAAAAAAAAAAGAAATAAACTTTTTTAAAACTCTAGATGCTTCGTCAAATTAACTTAACGTCTATCTGTAACAGAAATGCCTGTCGACAATTGGCGAATAGAACGTTTCGAAATTGAAAATTATGTTGTAATGTTCTAATATGTTTTGCTGTCTGTTAAAACAAATATCGCTATTCTATTTCTTTTTTTTTCTAAATACTATCCGAATGTATATTTCTTCATTAAAATTTAAAAGACTCTGTGAAACATAAAAAAAAATGTTATACGTTCCGCCCATGTAAAAATTTTTGATACTTTAACAAAATTGAATGTTACCTTTTTGACCCTAAAAATGCGAAAATTTAACGCGCTTCCTACAGTTAAGGAAAATACGGTTTAACGCTTTTTTTTCTTCTTTAAGAAAAAGAACGTTTAACGCATCTTTTTTTCGTTAAGTCATGAAGTTTTTAACGATTCTTTACATGATAATTTGTGAAAAATGCATGAAATTACGTTAAATACTGGAACTGTTGCATACATTCCTACTTAGAATTTTTTGTACATTCCTACACTCTAAAAAATTTCTGTGTCCTAGAAAACCGAAAGGGGTTCGGAAATCCACTCGGAAACCCTTATCCGTTTCCGAGAGGGTTTCAGAACAGTGAAAGCGTTTCTAAAAATACCCTTTCGGTTTCCGAACGTTCGGAAACCTAGAGGTTTCCTACACTCCCCAATTGAACACTCTAAAAGTATTCTAGAACACCTTTTTCTTGTTGTCGGAAACCCAAATGTTGTCTCGGAAACTGGAGAGGTATTGTCGAAAACCCATATTAGAAGAAAAACTGAGTTAGTATCCGAAAGGGTATGCGAAAGTACCTTTTCATTTCCTGAACGGCTTCCGAAAAAACCCAATTTCAAAAGGGTATCATAAGAATCCAAAATGGGTTTAAGAAACTACCTAAATTGAAAACGGTGTCACAGTCAACTAAAATAGGAGTCCGAACTTTCATTGAACATTTTAAAGGGTTCCCAATGATTTAAACATTTCGTACTCTCGAAAAAAAGGCGTCATACTGAACCATTTGGACTCAAAAATGCTTCTACCGAAAATACTGAACCTTTCAAGGTTTTATTCGTTTATTAATAAACCATCGAGGGTTCTAGCGACTTTAAAGAACCATTTCAGATCATGCATAGTTCCGGGTGTTTGAAAGGGTTCTGTCTTGCACCATTTTTTTTTATGCTGAATCATTTTTCCAAAATGGTTCTGGCTAAAACCAAGATGCGATATTTTCTGAACGTGATTTAACTAATGTAAATCTGAAATAGGTTATTGAGGTCCAGAAATCCGAATCCGCCATCATCGATTTCGATCCTGGGGATCCGAGTCGCATTAATCAATCCTGGCATTCGATGTATTCCTATCGGATCCTTATAAGATGCGAAGGGATTCGATCATAATGCTGTGGGATCTGGTAGGCTCCGATCAGATCCTATTGTCGGATTCATGAACCTGTGCAGGTGTGCTTCGATAAGTAATTCAATAATAAGTGGTAACATATAAAATGTGATTATTCTGTTACCTATTTTGATATGTCACAATTATTGATAGAAAGGTAATTGCAATCTGATTAAAGGGTCTGGGTGTGGGTGGGGGTGGGGGTGGGGCGTGGGTGTG